TTATACAATGTAAGTCTATGGGAAAAAAAGATTCAACTTGGGGACAATCTGACATAGGGACACTCTTGATGCACCAATTATGTCCGCATCTGGGGGTCTCACTGTATTTGCCCATGTCTCACAAAGTTTCAGTCTCAAATTATCCCTGTCTCCAAAAGTTTCAGTCTCAAATTGTCCCAGTCTCCAAAAGTTTCTGTCTCAAATTGGCCCTGTCCAAAATTGTCTCAATTTGTCCTACATCCATCACAGGGACCCAAAATTTTGTTAGACCAGCTAAAAAAAGATGAATTTTTGTTTGTTTCACCCATTATATTTTCCAAATTTTAGATAATGATTAAAACAGCTGGGAAACAAATTGCAATTTTTTAGCAAGGAGCCTGACACCTTTTTTAAAATGTGCCATGACATCACCTGGACAGTGTCCAGCATAAGTAGAATTTTTCGCATGTCGAGGCTCCAGCAGCTCCGTACTTATTATTCTTAAATCCAAGTATGACATCATGCATAAATATATTTCTCGCCTTTTATTTTCTGCAGCAGTCCTCGGAAGTGCTGAAAGACTCCTTTTTGAAGGTGCAAGTGTACACGTTGACGCAGAGAGTGACGCATGACATTTTATTCGGTTTGCCGAGTGCTCCAAATAATGAACTGAGTATCAAGTTGAGAGAGATGACTTGCAGAATGATGATGGTGAGCCATTTTTTTCTCTCTCAAATGAATGATGATACGACACACTCGTGTCGATATTTCGAATGAAACTATATAGGATTTATCTCAGTGATGTTGGAAGAAAGAATCATGCAGTGACTCATGTTTTATAAAATACGAGGACAAAGCAGAAGTTGACTGTCATTCTCAACTGCATAATACAGAGCATATATTACACTCGTTTATAATACATATACAGTCTGCATACAAGTCTCCTATACTAGTTACATCACCATAAATTCATTGAAATAAAGATCGTTTTTATTCTTAACCCAGGAATTCCAAGAAGGAATTCTGGCCCCTGTCCTGGGCTCATTCTGTCTTCCATTTAAATTGAGGCAACATCTGTCCCCAATCTGTGAATGATATTGTTTGATTGTTTCTTTTAAATTTAATCTCGGATATCCAAAATAAATACTGCATCTGATATTTAAAAAATAAAGCAAGTTTTTTCCTTCTAATTCAATGCCATGTTTGTGTCTTTAAGTATTTTGGTTTCTTTATAAAACTACATTCTTGGACATGCATGCTGTGGTGCCCAAAAGTAGTGGACAATTCTGTTACGAAGAACTTGTGGGGAGTTCGGAAAAATCCCAATATTCAAGATTACTGAAAGAAAGAACATTTGTTAATATTGCTTCTTCAAAACTTAATCTTGGACATCCAAAATAAATGCCATGAAGGCAACACGTTTTTTCCTGGAAATTTAATGCCATATATAATCCCTCCTGTCTTGGAACAGTTTGGTTTCTTTCAAAAATTATGCATTCTTGGGCATGCGTGTGCTGGTGCCAAACCTTTTTTTTTTACTGAGACAAATAAAATGTATCTCTTTGACATTCAGTTTAAATTTGTTTTGGGCGAAGAACTGAAAAATTCGAAGCAATGCCTGCATCATGTACAGGGAAGGTGAATCCACAAGTGTCGTCGTGTTCAATGATTTTTGCGTGGGTTTACAGTGTATAGTATTGATATTTTGAGCAGTGATGAATCTAGCCAATTCTTCTAGCCAGGAGTGATGTACAATATATACTGTTTTAGTAATGGTTAAACGGCGCAGGTCCTTGCCTGAAAAAATAACCATACATAATTAATTAATTAATTCCATGCTTGCTTAAAAGCATGTCCAAGAATGTAGTTTCCAGAAGATGTAGTTTCCAGAAGATGTAGTTTCCAGAAGATGTAGTTTCCAGAAGATGTAGTTTCCAGAAGATGTAGTTTCCAGAAGATGTAGTTTCCAGAAGATGTAGTTTCCAGAAGAAACCAAAGTACTGGTACTGTATTTAAAGACACACATGGCATTAGCAGGAAAAAATTTATTGTATGTCATATACTGTATTTACTTTGGATATCCAATATTAAATTTCGGAGAAACAATATAAACAATTTTGCTTTCGATAATAATGAAGAGTTTTTCCCCCCACAATACCTCCCTATACAAGTTCGTTATAACGGGATTCTTCCTACTATACAGTACAGTACTTCAACCTAATTTTTCTTTTTGAAGCAGATGAGGAACACAATCCGCGACGTTCTCCTCACTGAGCTGAATTTCCTGATCCCGAATGCGTCTTCAGTGCCCTACGACGACGAAGAAATCCGAGCCCAGTGCAACATTGTTGATCCCTGTATGAAAACCATGTCCTTGTTCTTGACGACCAAACGATTCATTCGGAATTTGGTCGACTTATGGGCGTGAATGCTGATGAGGATATGATATGTCAGAGGAGAGAATTATTTTGTACCAGACCTGCTTTTTACGAATGTGAATCGATGTGGGAGCGAATGAGATATGCTGCTGATGCTCATGGATGAAAGTTTCTGGAGACTGAGTTTGATTTTTGTATCAGCGAAATGTGTTTGTGATTCTGTGTTGTGAATATAGATTCAATGAGCGAGAGTCGGATTTTTAAAATGAATCTATAACTAAAAAAAAAATATGCGTCAATAAAGCAGAAAAACTCAAAGGAAAAAATGTGGATGTTTTCATTATCACAGAAAAGCTGAATGGGGACACACACAAAAAAATCTGATTTCTTGTTCCTCCAGCATAAATTTATGTTTCTTCATCAAAATGTCAAAAAAATTGTAGGATAATTCTTGACTCTTTCAAACATGTTCAAGATGTTACTCAAAACAATACAGAAGTTTTATCTGCGGTTCAGCAATCCAAAAACAACTGATGACCAGTTGTTGGTGTTCAAAAGCATGACCCGCTTTTGAACACCAATGCAGAAAACATATATTAGTAGGTGAATTACAATTATGCCTGAATTATTTATTCCAAGCATCAAGAAATTGAGCAACGTTCATCTTTTTGTAAATAAATATCCCACGGTGCTTCTTTCTCGAATTCTGAGAAGCTTTTGTCTGAATTATTCACCAGAATTTTCAAAATACCCCAATTTTCACGTAAAACATGGTTTGGATTACGGCTGACATGGCAAATAACGGCATTCTTCCTTGAATTCAATTTCTGTGAAACCTGACGGTCACGCAACGACCTAAAGAAAGTTACTGGATGGAAGTTCACAGTGAATGACACAAGCACACGACAAGAAGGCCCAAAACAACGTATATTTTGTATTCAACATGCTTTTGTGAATGCCACGCAATGGCGAATATTTGAGCAATTCGAGTCATCATCAAGGCCACAGGCATTTCCACGGCGAATACCCAATACAAAATAGAAATATATCTTCCACGTCAGGTCGTCCCAATAATGCTTGAACACATACCGAGTTCACGTACAACAAGCAGTGTTGAAAGTTCTTCGTACAAAAAAAAACAAACAAACCAAATGGACCCTCACAGTTGTTATTCAACGCTTTGAGCTCTCAGTTCAATGATGACGTTGTCCAGGTAGAAATGATCCGGATAACCCGCGGGAGGCCCGCCATGTTTCTCGGTCTTGTGATGAATTCCGTTCCAAACCACCACATTTTTCTCACCCGTCGTGCAGGTTGAGCCAATGGTGAAGATGAGGCCACGAGACCACGCCTTGTACAGCAAGCTCAACACCTTCGCAATAACGATATTCATTAAATCATCGCTACCGAAATAAATACCACGCGAACAAATCGAAAACGAACATTAAAAATTGTGGGTTTCGAAACGAAACAAGATTCCATAAATACTGTACAAGACATCCAAATTTTTGCAAGGAAAGAAGTGCATCTTGTTGCGTGAAGGGTCGCACTGTGCATTCAAGTTTCTTCTGAGGACCTTTTGAACTAATTTCGAAAAATTATGGAAATTATATATTTTTCCCAAAAACAGCAATATCAGATGGTTTAATTTTTGAGTACTTTCCACCGAAAGAAACAATTTCGAAGTACAGAATTCATCTAGCAGACTTTAAGAAAATTACTGACTACACTATCGTAGTCCGCATTTTTCTAAAAAAAAAGAACATAATAAGATCATTTCCGAAGTGAATGTGAATTTCCCCAAAATTTCAGAAAAGCTTTAGTAATGTACAATGAAATATTTCTTCAGAAAATATTTATTCAATACAACCTTTCTTTGAGTTCTTTTTTTTTTGGCAAAATTTCAGATAACAGCCGGGAGTGGGTTGATTTCTCAATCTGAATAACAACTCTTCCAGTGCTTTAAATAAAAAAAATTTTACGTCACCGTACAAAGAAAATTCACAGAAAGCCAGAGCCAGCGAAAAAATTGGGAAAGCTATTACCGTGCACTTTTTTTTGAACGAAGACGCAATTAAAATTTTTTGTCGACCAATACGAAATCGCCCCATTTGTAAAAACAGGCGCGGCAACAGCAACGTAGAGAAAAAAGGCAGAAATTTCGGCCAGGCAACACGTGTAAGGGACAGGTGGCGCTAGCTGTCCCCTCCTTTCTAACGCATGAAAAACTCCAATACTGTAGTTAAAATGAACTATTCCAACCTGGAATTCCAGCGTTGTCCATTTTCAAGATTATAAAAAGTCAGTCTCGAATTGCTCTTCGTTTCAGTCGGTACACATTAGCATTCTTTATTTTGTGTGAAATTCGAAATATAGTTTTTCACTTTGTCTTTCTGGAAGCCTTCCCTGCCGAGCTTCCCGGCGGTTCGTCTGTTTCATTACCTCAATTAAATTTATTGTTTCAGCCGTTTTTTTTATTTTGCTTTGCGTGGCTCGTGCCCCACAACACGAGTAAGCAGCAAAAATCGCACAAAAAGCCTTGTACTGTACTCACTTTCTTTCCTTTCTGATTATTTGGAAGATAACATTTTTTCGGGAAGCCTCTCACGATGAACGGCTTCCCGGGACAGGGATGACTGGCCGTTTGCACGCCCGGGAAAATGCTGTAGGTGATCTCGATCGTGTTACAGTCTTCGTGTCCCGGGAGACAATCGGGCAGTAGACAGTGATTCATTTCTCCTGGTGGTTGGTTCCCTCGTTTTTCGCCGTGAACTGTGCCGCAATTCGGACACTGTACGTACGACTGGAAAAAAGGCATACAGCCAAAATTCTGCATTAAACAAATTTCCTCAATGTTAAATGCCCTCGAAAAGATATCAACCTCCTACATAAATGATCAAACAGAAGTGCTGTTTAGTTTTAGTTCTGTCTTTTTTACAACGCCAACATTGGGGTAGAATTATAATTTCTGTCAAGGATCTTGCATTAGTCAGGGAAAAAAGATGAAAATATTTTTCTAATCACTACAAAAATAGAGGGACCTAAATATAAAATTCAAATAAATTTGACGAACAATTAATTCTCTAAAAGAAGAAACTCATATCTCACAGCAATACTCTGGAAAATTTTTGAAATTTCTAAAAAACATGTATTCCCGCCTATTTTGGAGGAAAATCGAGTAATTAGTTTTAAACGAACTATTTCATAAACCACCAAAATATTCCTAGAAAAATGGTAGCCTCTTATCAGGGTTTGACTGAAACTCATCGTACTCCCGGGTTTCCACCAAAAATGAAAAAAAAATTGAAATACCATAACAAATAAAAAAAATTACAAGACTCACCAGTTTATTGCTTCTCTGCATGGCTCGTAAGCAATTCCAATGCATCGGGTGTTTGCATGTGTTCAAGGCGACAATGTGAGGGCCGCCGCGGTCACCGCCAATGTCGTAAGCAGAAGGCGCCACCAAGGGATCGCAGCAAATGACGCAAGCATCGCGGGAATCCACAATCTCATGCACCACTCTAGTGACGCTCTGTAGGAACCTCGCTGAGGCACCCTGGGTTTCCAGCAAGTTGCCCGGCCAGTGGCAACCCAAGCTCAGCGTTCTCGGTTGGGCAACTGAAAAATAAGGAATAATACTGTAATTGTAAAACCACCGCACCGAGTTGAACCCGTGAAAATAAAATTTAAAGGTGTACACGTGACGCCCATTTACACTGTAGCCTCCCTCATTTGAGAAAACCCTTCCTTGAGATGACGAAACATAAAATGGACAAATCTAAGCATTCATAAGAACAGTACATCCAATACTGTACTGTTGAAAAAATGGGACAAGCAATGATTTTTTCGAATGAAGTTTCAAAATCAAAAACGTTTTCAAGCTTGGAGGACGAAAAAAGAATATTTGAACCTTTTTGAAACTAGAAAAAAAAATTTACTCGGGGAAATTTCTGTGTATTGGAGTTCTAAAGCGTGTTTTCGGTAATCATCCACTCCGCAAAACCCTCAAGGATCCCAAACATCAGCAAATGAACATCCAAAAGTCTATTCAATATCTAAAATCTATAGGAAATGTTCAACAGGATAACCTTCAAATTCAAGGACGTTTCCAACCTCGGGGGACGAGAAGAAATATTTGCAACTACAGTACGGTACAGCATTTGAAACTAGAAAAAAATTTTGCTCGTATGTTTTGTGGATTGGAGTTCCAACGCGTATTTTCCGCACAATCATCCAACCTTCAAGCCCTCAAGGATCCCGAACATCGGCAAATGCACATTCAAAAATACTATTCAATACTTCAATCTATTCTAAGATAGACCAGGATACTAAGGAAAATCAAGGACTTTTTCAAGCTTGGATGACTAGAGAAGAATATTTGAACCTTTTTAACGATAGAAAAAAGTTTGAATCTTCGTAAGTTGAGTAGATTGGATTTCTGAGGCGTATTTTCCGTGATCATCTACATTTCAAAACTCCAATTAAAAAAGGAACATATATACATATTTATTTACCGGGATAACCGAACATGGCCTCCGGGGGTCGGTAAGCCCCTCTACTTCCAATGTCACACATGGCAGCCTCCATCGCATCCAGGAACACGTCATCCGAACAGGCAGACAAATGCGAAGGACTCGCAATCGAATGAGAGTAATAAGAGCCAACGGAACCAGCGCCTCTTTCACCAGTCACTCGAGTAGAGTTGGAATCCAAACTGAGGTACGTGGATATCGTATCCAAACTTGGGCGTCTCTCGAGAACGCCGCCGCCACTCGATGTTCGCGGGGAACGAACGGAAGCACCCCGACAATGATCCATTCTCGGAAACGTCTATAAACAGTACAGTACAAAATCAAAAATGAATGACGAAAAAATCAAGCTGTTGTCAATTTATGAATTTTAGAAACTGCTCTCCTACACCTCAAACCAGAAAATGCATTAAATTCTTCCGAATCTGTATTTAAAATTTACACTTTCGATATAAGTTAATCCCCCACTCGAACGTACGCTCTCATTACAGCAATTCGCACTTGAAGCATTCATTGATGCTGAACCTGCGCCGGAATCAATTCGTAGAAAGTGAACGTACACAAAGGAAACACGAATGAATGGAAAACAATATTCCTATGAATAGTCGCAGTGAATTAAAATAAAATACAGGTCGAATCTCTCTACAACGAAATTTAGAAGGACCAAAAAACAAAGTCGGTATCAAGATAATTTTTTCGGAGTGGACCCTTAGTTCACAGACTTCTCGAGTAAAAAACATCCGTTCTTAACAAAACAAAATTTGGCTGAAACACTTTTGTCCCCTGACAAAAACTCTGAGGTTAAAAATGCAAATTTGGTTTGTCACACTGCAATGTAAGGTACTGTACAACCTAAATGCACTTAATTAATCGGTCAACTAATCTGAAAAAGCTTGCTTCCTGACACCTAATACTGTATTTTACTTCCCTTACCATGATTTCATCCTCAATTGGAAATTCTTCAATAAAAAAAAAACTTCTAAGAAGGAGCATCTGAGAGCGACGCTTTTCCACTGTCATTTTCGGTGTCTCACATCTTGGCTGATCAAGGCAAAAACGAAACATTTTTGTGATTTTACCTGCGTTGGGGTGTTATTGCCAAAAGGAGTTTTGGTCTTGTTCTTCTTCTCGGGCTCGTCTTTATTCGAAGAATGCGGGTTTTTGCCAGAAATGGAAGTGAGTTTCCTGAGGAATTCTTTCGCTTTCGCGGCACTCGCCAACGCGCCGTGATTCCGTTCCGGAGTCGCCGGCTGCACATTTTCTCCACACATCAAAATACCCGCGTTGGAGGAATGCGCAGTGGAGCCTTTCCGCTTTGTTTTCTCCTTGTCCTTGTGACCTTTCTTCTTCGAACGAGAACCAAGCGTACCATCCGCACTAAGTGTACTGATGGCGGAACCACCCGTAAGCTGGACAGCCAACGAAGCCGTCATGTGGTCTGTAAAGAGGATATACAGCGGTAATACCCCGTTTTGCATAATGGAATGTGTTTTTGGAAAAATAATCGAAGTTTCTGCGGATAATGTAATTTCCAGCATTATTTTTCATGCTACTAAAAATGTCTTTGGTTACATTGATTGTGTCAATTCTTCGCACTTCAGTGTTATTTCTGCTATTTTATTTTACACATTAATTTATTTATGAAGGAAATTTTCAAAGAATTTGGAACGGAATAACCACCTCACGAAGCTTAATACTACTCAGTTGAGAGATTTGAGGTCTGTAGAGAATTTGCCATTCAGTAAAAATTTGAAATACACCACAGGGCGACTTTCTGTAACGAAATTGAAGGGACAGAAAAAATTCGTTGCAGAAAACGAAATTTTTTTTTCTCTCCCCACGTCTCTATAACATGGGGAGAGAACCCTACGGAACGAAAAATAAACTCGTTATACAGAGAAAAGTGTTGTAGACAAGATCTTTGTAAAGAGAGTCCACCTGTGATAGGTTTCTCATTAAAACGAAGAGAGTCGAATCATTGAACGGTCTTTGAAAATGCCTGATGAATCGCAGCTTTCTTAAAAATTTTGAAGTTCGACCGCCGTTGATCAGGGCAACGGAAAAGGCACTTCCAGCTTAAATATTCCAGATACCTTTCTATGTCACAAAATTGTTTCACTGAGGTCAACATTAACTGTCGCGGGTCGACTAGATGTCGCCCGCGGTTGCGCCACATTTCACAAGAACAAAAAGGAAACAGAAAGAACAAACATTGCATAATACTTGGAAAAATTCGATGAAGGTACATAAAAAGTTTGCAAATCTTTCCAAATAATAGCCATAACATACAATGACGAAAAAAGAATGGATTTTTTAAAGGAAATTTCCAAAAATTTTGAATAAGCCGATAGATTGAATGGAAAATAATTCTTGTAAGGGAATCAAATGTCAAAATCGAAACGATCCTTTCACCATCAAATCGAAAAGATTACCTTCCGTTTTCTTTTCAACGACTGAAGCAGAGACACGACAATTTTTCTGAAAAATTCTCAAGTGAATAATTAAAATTTTCCTCAACTTCCAGAATGCACCCTCGCCAATCAAGAAACAAAAATCGATATTCCAAGTTTTTAAAAACAACAAAATAAAAATACCTGTGGCAAGAGGTTCAGAAGCGGGGACTTTAACCAATGGATATGACTGAATTTGGATCCGCTCAGTGCTTCTTACATGACCCGTATTGCACCGAACTTGCGTCATGTTGCAAAAGTTGATGATGTATGGAGTCGTCGGAAAGACTTGACTCACATCGAGCGTTTGCTCGCCCTGTGAAAATCATAAAATATTATACAAATTGACCCCAAATGAACGGATGCAGGATTCAGTGAGCACCCAAACCCCATTGAGCGCCAAAAAAAACGAGCTCTCCTCAATGAGCTGGCATTTTAAATTCATTGACGATCAAAATACTGCATAAAAACATTCCTCATTAGAAAAACGGTTTGAACATGCAAATGTTTTCTCACACACTTCAACAATGAAAATTCGTGCTAAAAGATTCGGCATATTTTGTGAATCCTTTTTTCGTTTACATTTTAATCGTGCTGTTGCTGTCACACGAAAATATTCGAAAACAACTGAGAGATTATCTTGCCCCACACGAAAGAATGCGATTTATAAAAATCGGAGGATGCCTCGTTTTTCTACAGTAGCATCTACAATAATGAATTTACGGAGACTCTCAATTATGTGGCCGCAAAGAATGAACGTCTGTCTTAGATCTTGCACATACAAAACTCACCTTCATGTAAGCTTCTTCTATAAAACACTGCACGGCCATACCGTACGTATGCCAAGTTCCTGGGGAATCTCCGCTCCATTTCCAACAAACCCCCTTTCCCGGGGGACTGTTGGGACAATAAAGTTCTCTACGCACGCGCCAACTTGCTCCTAGATTAAATCAACAATAATTCCATCACAACTATTGTAATTCCGAAATCCCGTCGTATGAATGGTCGGAAGATTTTCTCCTTTCGTGTGAAATATTAAAATCGAACAATACCCTTCTCGCAAGTGTCATTCATGCTGGTCTTGAATCAACCTTTCCACAATTATATGAACAATATTCAATTTTCATCCATTAAACAACTACCAAATTTACAACGTGGATTCTGCATTTAATAGTATTCATTAAAGCTAAAATTTTCAGAAGAAAAAAATTCCAAGATTCGAAGAATGCCCTTTGGAATAGAAGTCGACTCTGAAGAGTAGAATCTTGACGATATCACACGGAAAAAATTTGACAAAACCTCACAATAAGAAATGTCTTCAAAATATTCCGAAAAACGTCCAAGACCATTCTTGTCAACCCCAAAACGCGAACTTCAAAGAAATCTGACCAAAAATATTTATTTATAACTCTTCGGACTTCTGGTCTCCGCGACTCAAGAAAGTCTTCAAGGTCATGCGGACTTTTAGTGAAACAATGAAGAAAGATTACCACAATCGAGATTTTAGAAATGTATTTCATTATGAAAAGTTTTCCGGAAACATAAATGAAACTTGATTGGAAAACATTTATGGACACTGGATGAAATCACGTGTCACAAAAAGAAAAATACGTAACCCTCTTGAAAAGATTTATGAATACAGAAAAAAAAATACTATGACTTCTATACCAGCAACATCCGACTCCAAGAATAAAACCACGGAGTTATAAAAGTTCCTTTTAAAACTAGAAATTTTTTTTTCAAAAGGGAATCAAAAATTGGAGGCTCACCCGTATTGATGCATTCCTGCTTGAAACACGGTTGCAGGTAGACGATAAACTTGGACAAGGACGGATCAGAGTCACCCAAATAAACGCTCTTCAGGCCCTTTGTGAAGGAACGATCCAATTGTTGACAAACTTCCGGAGTATAAGGCCTCCATCTCCCGTATTTATTCTCCCACTCCCACACAGCGACAGCTTGTTTCGTCGCAACTTCGGACATCACTTCAAAAATTACGTAAATTCAACATATCGAAAGAAAGACCAGGTAAAATGAACATAGTAACCTAGATAAAAAAAATGAAAAACCGATAAACAATAGATCAATCATATCGGAGTTATAAAACAGTCATGTTTTCATCAATGCAGTCGGAGTAATTTCATCAGCGCTTCACTGATTCAGAAAAAATTTCAAAATTCTTACTTATATTTCTTGTTCAAAATTTAACTTTTTAGGATTTAACTCGAAATCAAAATAGCCGGAAAACGTTTCCTGAATAAATAAAAAACTATTCTTCAGGCAAAAAGAATAGCGATGAAATCTTTGAGCAGCAGTGAAGTCTAGAAAGATTTTGTACTGAAGATTAGAAAAAAAAGCTCCGGTGAATTGATGAAAATTTTCCGGGAAAATAAAATGAGCGAGGTCTCAGAAATTTCATTCCCAGCTCTCACTTTTTTCCGACGCTAATCATAAAATACGCGATAAGCCAACGTATAACACAGATCGGTGACACAAGCATCAACGGAGGGACTTCTTTCTCTTTTGGACCCGAGATACTTCAGAAAGCCGTGACAACAATTTCAGTTACACAACTTCAATGAACAGACTTCAGCACAAAAACGAGACAAAAATTCATGCCTTCTCACGAATTTCCTGACGAAAGCAGGATTGCACGCATTTTTCGAAAAAGAATAGGATCCTATTCCCGTGATATGTCCTGAAAAAAACGCTGACTTCCTAGTTCCTACCAACAACTGACTAAAACACACAGGACAACATACATTTACACCGCTGAACAATGGCCATGGCAAGCGGAATTGAATTAAATACAACTTGTTTCCATCGGGTTACATAACGATGGTGAAAACATGTAAATAATGCATAATTCACAATTATCCTTTTCAATCAATTTTGAAATCAGATTTGACAATATTTGGTAACAACCGGATTACAACTCATGTGCGATACATGCGAGAACAGTCAAGCGTTTTTTGTTCGTGCGACACGAACAAAAAAATTTTCTAGCCACAACCCGCGAACAATATACCAAATTTGCAAAATCACACTTTAAAACTAAGAAAAAAGTCCCTATGGCAAGAAAAGTATTACAATATCGAATTTTTCGAGGTACGCAGAAGACCATGAATAAATTAAGCCACCGTTCAAAATTTTTCGATCGGGATTCCAGCAGATTTTCAAATGGAGTTTATGGATAACTTTATAATAAGCATAGAATAAAATATCAAATTAAAATGCGTCCTCAAACCCACCAAGAACAACACGAGACGATGAATATGGCAAGCTGAATCGAACACGAGACCACCTTTTTCAAGGTCAATAATCATTGGATAAGATAAAAACGATAATAGATCATCCGAATTTTTCAATAGCATTTTCGATGTTCAACTTTCCTGTAAATTTGATAAGGCAACTCGTGAAAATAAAAGGCATAAAACGTATCACAGGGATACGGCACGAAAGAAAAATTCTCCAACGTTAAAAAAAATAACTGCAGAAACTTGATTTTAAATGTCATCAACATTTCAAAAATGTGACAAGCTCAAATCCTTTATCGTTGGATGAATCTCATGATTACATAAAACACATTACTTTAGTTTCTCATTCGTAAAAAGAAGTTTAAAAAAGTCGAGGAAGCCTAATAGAACCTCCGCCAGAAAAAAAAGCGGCAAATGCAAATACTGTATACCGATAAGAGCCGTCGCCTTAAAAATACCCCCATTGGCATATAAATGCAACATATAAAACGCCGACATGAAGCAGAAACTAAAAAAAAAGGCGCAGGTAATAATTAACGAACTGACAATGAAAACAGCTAAAAGTACGACAGCATACAATTCTAGATTACAATTCCGTATACCATAATGGACGCACGATTCGGTTCAAGCATTTGTGGGCCTGACACGTAAAAGTCACATTAAACGCAACAACTCCGTAAGCCAAATAGCTGCCCACGACTTCTATAACACGTCTCCTGGCATCTTCATCCATTCCCAAACTCAGGGGGGAATCCCCATTCCCGAAAAAATATTGCAACACAGGTTTCGATACCTTCCGACAAATCGCTTTCGACGAAAGCAGTAACACAAGACCGATAACCAAACGAAGTACGCTCAGTCCACACATTTCCATCGTTGGCCAGAGAACCGGATAAGGTGGGCGGGTAGCCTGTAAGTGTTAGAAAAATGGAAGTTATTTTAAATAAATTTCATGCGACGCAAACCTGACAGAAACTTCAACGATAGTTCTATTTTTACTTCATTCAACGCCCATTGAAGAAAAAAAGTCTTTTGAATTTTAGATTAAATACTGTTTATAATACCATGACCTCAAAAACCGTCATAATCCTTTTCTCAATCTCAATGCTGGGGGATACAGTTCATTTTTCACTAATGAGCAACAACGCTAAACGCGTGAAGTCATCAATTTTACGGATAGGCCGCAAACTATTGTAGACAACATTGATGTCAACTTTCAAGATTCAATTTCGACAACCGGAGAGATTTTCATAAAATTTTTCCACTCGATAAAATCATTCAATAATAAAAAAATTCGGTGATATTTCATATACTTTTTGATAGTCGGGCTAAATACAATTACTAAATATGTATTGCCATTAGCGAAACCAATTTTTTAAACTTAAGGTAAAATTATTTTATCCGACTACCAAAAATCCTGGTGACAAGAAATTTCAGATTCTGTGTGGTTTTCTTCTGCACACTTTTTTCTGTACAGTATCTTGAAGTTGATATTTCATTTTTATTGTTGGGGACGATTTTCAATTTGTTCTATACACGAAAGAACCATTCAAATATGTTCCCATTGAAGCCTATCGGAAAATGTGACGAGAAACGCGGAGGCCCCAATAAATTCAGTAAGTATGATTCGCCCGTCTCTCACGAAGTGTACGAGACTAACGAGAGGCACAAAAATTTTCAACGATTCACCGACTTTTAGAATTGGGAGAATTTTGTGAGCATCTCTACCGTCATTGAAATTGAATCATACTTTCGCAGCCTTGAATTAAATCTCTGCTAGACGAAAACACGTCAATAACTTTTTTTTCTGCAATAGCGCATAATACTTGCCAGAAAGAAATCTTGTGTACTTGATATGAAGTGATAACGGTAGCTCATCCAGGCCCCGAAGCAAATACCCGCTCCAGCAGCAGTCGTCACTGCTGTGTCTCCATGTGTTCGAGACCAAGACGGGGATTTCGGGTAGAAATAGAGCAAAATCACGCTAGTCGCCAAAATCGCAAATGGACTCCACGGATCCGTCACCAAAAACGCATCCAGACTGTCCATAAAGGAAGTCAACAGCAGCGTTGATGCAATGCCAATTAGGAGACCGACGATCACGTCCTGTTACATCCATCAATAACAAATGCTATTTAGAATGTTACCCGTCTCGTAAATCTGGTCTAGTACTGAGACTTGGGATTTTGAACGATGCTTTTAATCAGCAAAATTCCTTTCAACTTTTACGCATCTTAAAAAACAATTCTACGCTGAAGAATGAAGTCGCTATTCGATCAAGTACTTCTTGTGATCTCACCACTCCACAAAAATAAAAATCAGGAATTGTAAATGGGGAAAATACCATAGCTCAGAATTATTTCATTTCTTTTGATGACGTTTGCGGCTTTTTAGCTACTTGCTCATAGAGAAATTGCTCTTCAGGTATGGTAATTGCTCTTTTGTGGAATAAAAACGGAATGTATTCACAGATCGCGTTCATAAATTGTCAAAGCAGACGTCAGCTACCAGTCCAATCGTCTTTAAAATAAGTAAGGACATTGATATTTTTACAAGTTCGAAGGATAATTTTTGCCAAAATCTCGATACACGACCATTATTTTTCAGCTTCATTCGGGATCATTACTATTGCACAATTATAAGTACACCATGGATGACAAAGATTTACTGATTTTTTTTTTGCTGAGATACTGTATATTTCGGAAGAATTTTTTACTTACCGATACAGAATGCATTCCAAGATACAGTCGACTTCCGACAACAATCAAGCAGTAGAAGAATGCTATCACGACTCCAACTTCCACAGGATACTAAAACATAGACAGATAATTACCGTGTCATCGCAATTTCGAGCACACTTTCTTTTCGGGGGGTATCGTGAAAAAAAATTGGATGATCAAAATAAAATCGAAGCATGTTTACTTCGAAACTCGCCCGCGAAAGT